CCCCACTCCAGTCGATGCTGATTCTGTGAGTAAGGAAGTGACATTAAGTCACTGCTTTTTGTCGTGAATACAGAACACCAACTGTTATCATTTCGACTTTTGTGGTAATAGTGGTACACTGACTTGCTACCAGTACGACAGAAACAGAACAAGTACTATTGAGGGAGGCGATGGGCCGTGTCGGCGCTACAAATTGGTGAGTTCATCGGTAATTGCAATTGTAATTGCAAAAAGGCTTTAAAAATGCATTGCAGCACGAAATAATTTTTTAACAATACCATCAGGAGGGCGTGTTTATTTTCAACAAAAATATAAAGTGAATGAAAAGCATCTAGGTGGAGGGGGCATAACAGGCATACGTATACTGTAATTGGACAGTTTTCCTTATTCCTAACAGAGACTTAGTTACATGTATCACTATGCTTTAAAAGGTTCACATGGTTTTCCCGACAAATTAAAGTCATATTCTTTTTGCAATAAAATGAACATTATCGACTTTTAATACGAGACATAGCCCTAATTTAAATGTAATATCTCATGTTAAAGGTACATATTCCTTATATTTATTATCTTCAAGTTTTAAAGTCGATGTTTTAAATGGGAATTCATTAATAAATGATATGGTGTTACATCAGTATGATTTCTTTTTAAATATTTAAAAATTGAAATGATCCAGCTTTCTTTGATACTATTTAGTTGAAATTTTCAAATTGACATCTTAAAGCTGAGAATTTTTCGAAGTACTTTGCACAATTTCTATACGTCTTGGTTTTGTCGAAATTCAGCGCCGAAAAATGACAATGCTGCATAAAGAAATCATGCCAAAAGACAGAATGAAAAAGTATTGTTTATATTTTCAAATAGTAAATTGTTACCATTGAAAAGATAATTCTTTTACATTTACCGTCTGAAACTTTAGATATCGGATGTATCTTTCATGATGCTAGATCTAGAAAGTATAGCCCTAAAATATCAACTTTTTAACATGAAAAGAAGTCAAACAAATGAAAAATACTAATATCATCTTTCGCTTTATAGAGTCATGTTATTGTACAGAAATACAAAAGTAACATAATTTGCACTGTTTTTAAGTCACTGCAAGGCAAAGAACTGCTTTAAAAAGAGATACAAAGACGGTTACATTTTACGAGAAACCACGAAAAACCATTTGGGAAGCATCACAATGTTTCAGCAAAGAGTATATCAAAATCCTACCAATAATTTTTTGTGAATCATGTTTTAAGTTAATTTAGGTAGGACACAATAGATAGGCCAAATTCTTCCTCAAGTTCAATTTTTCTTAAACTTTGATAATTTTTTCTAGGATACAAAATCTCTTTTTAAATATGATAATAATTTAATTTCACTTGTATCAAGCAATTTCATTGGCTGAATCATTCAGAGGAACATATAATATTTTGTATAACATAACTTGCCTACGTCACAATGAGTTACGTCAAAAACGTATTACTCCGCTTGACGTTACTTTTAAAATATGCTATATTTGAAGCCTTTTTCCGGAGGAAAAATTGTCTCATTGTCTATACTGATATTAAATTATAAGGAATGAAGCTTATTTCAACTTATGTTATACAATATAACATAACTTGGGACAGTTTACGCTTTTTCATAAAGCGTAAACTGCCCCAAGTTGTGTTATATCGTATAACATAAGTTGAAATATGCTTCATTCCTTAATGAAAGAAAATTCAACCACACATTTTTTTGCCCACAAAGTCTGAAATATGGCCCATCAGACCCCCGTAAAAATTTGTGAAATCAAACACTCGACTTGAGAATGAGCTTATTTTAGAATTATCAATTGATCTATTGCAAATTTGTGTAACAATTTTGATAAAGATAACCTTTTTGTTACTTTAAGTCAGTAATTCATATTGATACTGGAAATTTGAGTAAAATATTAAGTAAAAATAGAACTTGCGTAGCGTTGGAATTGAAAATTCACTAGTAAATTTCCGACAGTTTAAGTTTTCTAAAGAGAAATTGCACGATTCATTTTTTACAAAAAATCAACAGAATGATTCAAATGCGTCCTAGCATAAAATGTGTAAAAATGAAGAAAATTGAACCAGTGATTTCAGATATTAAAAAAAATCAATGGCTAAAAAACTTAAAGATTCAGAAGATGATGTCACAATATTTGACCTTTGACCTCTTGATATGACCCTGACCTTTGTAGGATGCAAAGAATGGAGACTCTTTTATATGTGTCCAAATATCAGCCCTCTACTATTTATGGAACAAAAGTTAAACTGCACTTTATAACAGACTGTTACATGCTTGTTTAGTGCACTTAGATAACGTAAACACATTCCAAAATGTAATCTCCCAAGTGACTAATATATAGGATTCTCTGACTTTTTCACAAAATATGACGCAAACATGCCAAAACTTACTATTATTCTACAGGGATCATTCATTGTTGTCAATATAGTAACATTATTCTTTTTTTTTTCTCATGTACATTTTAAGAAATGGGTTAAAATAGAATCCATGGGTGCTTTGTCCTACCTTAAATAAACATAAAGTAAGTTAGATATAATTTTAAAATATATTTTGTTGCCTCGTTATGCGTAAAGGTAGAATGCTACACCAACTTCTTATTTAATAGATCTTTGAACAATGGTTTCGGGCTCTTATTTTTTTTTTTTTTTTTTTTTTTTTTGTATTTTTTCAATGAAAATGAAATAAATTATTTATATCCAAATAAGATGTTTTCGAGTTAAAAGTTTGTTTTAAATGAATTCATCGTGTGAATATCTAATAAAATATGTAAAGAAAGGCTGGTTAGACTTTTTCAGTTATTTTTTTTTTAAAAATTATTTATAAAAATAAAACACATTATTTGTGAATATTTTTAAACCTATGGCTAAAAACACCATAAAACTAGTCACAACTGAGGAGAACATGTTTGGGAAATTGAAACCAAATTGAGAAATTTTTAAGAAATTATGTTTTTTTTTAATATTTGGACCTAACCCGATCAAAATTAAACTGATCCCGTCCAAAATTAACACAAAATAAATAAAACAGTAATTTATTGCCTCTGTCATGTATTTACAATGAAGAAATCTATTTGATTGTCAAGTTCAATAAAGTCAAACCTAATCAGACCAGCGTTCTTGGGGAAATGTTATTTATTTCCAATAATTGTACAATTATGTTTGGGATCGGTTTTATTTCTATTGGGTTTGGCCAAAATGAAAAAATAATAATTTCTCTTAAATTTGGCTATTCCGTTTCAATTTCTTTAAAAGTTTAAAAAATTTCACAAATTATATGTTTTATTTTCATAAATATTTTTTTATTTAAAAATTTTTGATTTTCTATATGCTTTTCTTTACATATTTTATTAGGTATTCAATGACATGTGATGCATTCATTTAGAGCAAATTTTTTACAAGAAAGCATCTTATTTTGATGTAAATATTTTTTTTAATTTTTCTTTGAAAAAAAATACAATAAAAAAATCATATGAAATAATTAAGAGCTAATGTCAGCCTTTCAATGCTGAAACCAGTGTTTAAAAAGTGGACTCAGAGATTTATAAAATAAAAAAGTTGGTGTGGCATTCCTCCTTAAGCTGTATATGTATAGCTCACAGTTGCATGTAATATACATAAAATCTTAGAATGTACACGTAAACAATATTTTTTTGGAATGAAAGATGACAATATACGAATGTTGAGAGTTAAACAAAACTTGTTAAACAAGAGTGTTGGAAAAAGTTGGTAGGCAAACCCGGACCAGGACAAATTAACGATTTTTCTATTTTTTGCCCAATAGTTTAGGTTTATTTCTTTATATTCGCTGTAAAAATTGCACTGAAATAATAAGTATTGTAGATTTTTCCGAGACTGTTGATTTTCAAGTTGTTGTTGTCTTTCTGACCTCCAAATTAATTGGGGTCCTCTTTAGGCCCTATGGATTTATGATATAAATGAACAATGCAAATATTCATAGCAAAACCTCGAACGTTTCTCGGGATATCGCACGTTTACGGACGTACAGAATATATGAATTTATGACCTTGATGTTTGAACTTTTAAATTCAAGCTCAATAGCTTAGGTTTCTTAGTTAGGTTATTGTGTAAAATTTAACTGCAAAAACTCAGAGGTTTTTTGAGATATCAAGTGGAAACGAAAATGTTACACTCAAATAGAACTACAGATAAACGCACAGAGGGACGGTTAATGCACAAATAAATTTTCAACATGTATAAATATCATGATGAAATAAGATTTACTATTTAATAATATACAGAAACAGTTGTGTGAAGGAGATTTGACACACCCCTGTAGATGTCCTGAAAATCGTGGAGGAGAGAGATGTAATTTAAAATTTGGTAAGATTCTACAAGTCGTATTAATTTTCCATTGTTTTTTTATATTTATTAGAAACTAAGTGATACCTTATAAAAATTAATTGTGTTGATTAAAGGTTGCAGTGGAAATTTGATTTCTCCATCAACATCTTCATATGAATAGTCGATAACGTTAACAAATGGTAAAACTTGCAATCTGTTTTGCGATATGACAACTGATGGAGGCCGATGGATTGTAGGAAAAATATTTTTTTAACATTTGCTTAATTCTTTAATTTCTTTCTTGAAATGATCTATACTTTGAAAAATCTTTTAATAACTGTCATAGCTATACATGATTATTTAAGAATAACTTGAATGTAAATGAAATGAATGCAGTTTGAGAAAACTCGGAATGATAATTTGGAAAACTCAGATTTTCAAATCGGAAGATAGTATAATGGAAACAAAGTACACCTCCTTCTTTTAATGTATGCAGCAATGTAGAAGTAGAACATTATATTTCAAAATAAAAATATATGAAAATTTTTGATATCAGTAATTTGGTTAAATTTCTGTTTCAACTTGATCGTATTAGATGCAATATAAATGATTATATGATATTCAAATTAATATGCTTTGCTAACATTCAAATGACAGGTCTTTCAAAAGCGTATGGATGGCAGTGTCGATTTTTACAGAAACTGGAATGAGTACTCCGATGGATTTGGGACTATGGATACAGAATTCTATTTAGGTATACATAGGGAATTTAAAATGAGTTTTAAAACATTAGATATATATTTTGTACAGTAATAATGTTAAGACATTTTATCGGGATACGCTACCACTAGAAAAACTCGTGTATTCAATTAATAAAATAAATAAGCATTTTAATGATGAAGCACTAACTTTCATAAATTAATCTCATTTTGAGCCGATTTTCCATCTTCCGCTGAAGTTTTATCTATATATTTATTTTATTAGTCTATTCATTTATTTAGGTGTATTTATCGATTTTGCTAAAAAAAAAACATGTATATGTAATTGTTTTCAAATCTAATTAATATGTCAATTATATCACAGGTAATCAAGCTCTATATGAGATAAGTGGAGACAGAAATTTTGAGCTCAGAATCGAATTGACAGACCAAACAGGAGAATACCGTTATGCCAAGTACTCCGACTCGGTTGGAAGTCCTGAATCTTTATATACTTTGTACATCACAGGATATACTGGAAATGCTTGTAAGTTCATAGATTATACACATTCATGTCATTCATGAAGATTTTAAAATTTTAAGTTTAGGTGATATTTATAATAGCATTATGCTCACAGAGAAGGATGATTTCAAAGCAATTTACATGTATCTTTGTTGATTGATCTGCATTTCTCCAGTAAAAAAAAAAAAAAGAAATTCTCTTTTATTTCGATGTGATGAAGTCCTGCTACAGATGTAAATTAGTCAGGCTTTCATTTTTCGATATCATGGAAAAGTGTATATTTTTCTTTAAACTGAGTGTACTTGTGACTTAGAATAACATTTGTTTATTGTATTTAAAGGAAAGATAATGTTTCAGAACATCTTTACAATGCCATATAGAATAATCTCTTTAATTCATTTAATTAGTATAAATTTAATTCTTTACAATTTAGCAATGATTAACTTTGATAAGGGACATTTCTTTATTTTTGCACTTCTTTATTATTCAGCTGACAGCTTAGGTGCTCATAATGGATATAACTTTTCTACATATGACATGGATAATGATATCGCAAAGGATTATGATTGTGCTACGTTGTGGCGTAGTGGTTGGTGGCATGTGTATTGTGGGCTCAGCAATCTGAACGGGTTGTATGGAAGTGTTGGATATCAAGGATTAACGTGGCACTACTGGAATAATACATTTTCTCATGTTATGAGCTCAACACGAATGATGATGAGGCTAAAGGAATATTGAGCATTTCTTCATAGATAATGTTTATTCTAGAGCACTTCTGTAATTTCTTTAAATTCATGTACTCTCCACATAAAATTACTCAATAAAAATATTTGCAACATATGTGCGAGATAGTTCTAAAGTTTAAGAAATACAGCGCCGTCTACTTTCTCTCGAATCACTTGCTTCTTTTTTAATGATCATATGAAATTTTGATAGATCATGGCAAATTCAGTGCGTGAGAATACAGTTGAACTACGTGCTATTAACGTAAAAGTGACAGATCATGCGTAACTTAGTTCCTGGTAACAATGATACAAAACAATAAAGTACTTTTTAACTCGTGCTTCTTCAAATATCAGACTCGGGGGACAAGTCCCCTCGTCTGATATCTGAAGATGCACGAGTTAAAAGGTACTCTATATATTACATATACACTGTTATATCTAGTACAATTTAGAACGATTTGTGATTATCGAGTTTAATAAAAAATACATATTTTATCTGTATCAATCAAATTATTTTTTGAAACATTCCCTTAAGTGAAAAGTCCGATGCCAGTTGTCGGATGTCTTTAAAAAAATAAGTAAAAATGTCCCATTGGTTTTTTTGTTGATAGCAAATATTTCATAATAGAGGAATTTCAATAACTTTGTAAAGTTAATATTTAGATAGTTCTTTGGTCTTTATAATGACTTTGTTTGTAAAGACAACCTGTAGTTTGGATAATTCGTTTGACGATTATGTTTTGTACCAGTTGTTAGAAAAATTATTTTTATAGCAAAATTTAATTACCTATTATTCCTTCTACATTATTACATCATAAGGCAAACAGAGGGCGTGGCGCTTAAAACCTGGTTACACAACTGAAATTCCAGACGTCACGTGTCTAATGCTCTGGTCACAAATTTGTTTTGTGAAAAAAATTGAGATCGATGACATTTTCTTATTTTCATTGCTTTTAATAAAGTACCACCGACTAGCCGAAATTAATGGATATGTTTGTGATGTCTTAAGGAAAATAAAGAATTTTTTCTGGATAATCAACTTTTATCAAAATACACGAGACTCTGGTGAGCGCTGCAGTCTTCTTGTTAATCAACTAATTTAAAAAGTCGGAATATCCTAGAAATTGGGCATCTAAAAAGAAATGGCAATACAAGCCTATGCACTGAAAATGCAGTAAATGACAATTATATCTTTACCCCTGGTTATTGCATTCAGTCATGGAGAATACTTAGAGTCTCATTTCGAATTTGTTGGCCATGTCCCCACTCCAGTCGCTGCTGATTTTGCTAGTAAGGAAGTGACAATCAGTCACTGCTTTTCCTCGTGTATACAGAACAGCAACTGTTATTCCTTCGACTTCTGTTATAATAGCATTACTGAAACTTGCTACATGTACGAAAGGAACAGCACAAATGTCATTGGGGCAGATGGTGGGCCATGCAGACGCTATAAACTGGTGAGATTAAATTGCATTTAACTGACTGGACATTATATATATATTATATCATATCATTATCATCATTATCATATCATACAATTATCTCAGTTCAATCTGTGCATTAATCATATTGGAGGAAGGACAGAAGAATTAAAATAGATGGCATAAAATGTTTTGACATTTATCCCCTTCATTCAGTATAAAATATAAGGTCTTGATTGTATATTTTCAGAAGATATTTGCATACCGTATATGTGGATATCTTAGCGAGACGCAATTCTTAAAAAATGGTATTTTATTTTTAGTGAGATATAATTTTAGCGATTTTAAAATACTCTCACATTAGAACATATTACAAATAAAACTCAATTAATTTTTTGCGATATCAGCACCCTCGCTGATTATGCCAAAATTAAATCACTCACTTAGGATAAGACGACAAGTTCCTTAATAAATTAATTTATGTACATCTCCAATGCAAATTCATTTTGACATAATAACTAATTTGTGGAACTTCTCGTTCATTAACATTTTCGTGTACTGTCGTGAACCCACTCACACTTATTGTACTATCGCAGTATTTCAAGAAAACGCCTTCACTCTCCATTCTCATAAACAACAAGACATTTAGGTATGTTGCACTTTGCCAGTATATAATGTGACTTTAATTATAGAAAATACTTGTAATTACTTATGTAATAATTGATCATAAAATCCATAAAATTATTAATAAACAACTTATTATCTGTGTCAAAAATTCAAACAGAATGAAACCGAATTATGAATATGATTAATATGTAAACCGTGATTACATAATATATGTCGTAATTGATAACACAATATATCAAACGTTCTTATGGTATGAAATCGCCATGTACTTGATTAAATTTATACTTTAAATTAAATTTAATCAAGTTCAGACCCCAATTCCTTAATAAATTAATATAATTTTTCCCAAGAATTTGTCAAAAAATTATTGACACTCTAACAAGTTTCCTTACAAAAAAAAGTTAAGGTACCTTTATTAGTTACCAGGCATTTGTGCAATATACCTGATGTTGGTGTTTCCTGTACATGTATTTTCCTTTTGGAAACCTTTTGAATTGCCAATATTAACAATTTTTGGTGTGATTATATATAATCATTTTAAAAAACAGTCAAAAAATTATTAGAGAATGACAATAATGAATTAAACTATTTTAAATAGTTAGAAAAGAAATAAAACAGATATTTGAGTAATTTGTAGTTAGACAAATAAGTAGACGATGTAGAAGTTGATGACACTTTTCTATTCACCATCTTGTTCACATTTTCATATCGTAGCTATAATCTTTAAAAGATTGGCTACATTTATTTTTACCTGTTTTATTACAAAAACCCTTTTAAATTTTGACTAAAATAGCAATGTTTAATACAATAAAAAGCTTTCCAGAAGAGACGCATAAACAAGGTAGCCTAATCTGAATCGATTTAATAAATCCTTAATTTATTCATACCATCTAATTGGTTTTATACCTTTAGGTTTGGTTTCGTTTTTGGTTTATATATTTTTATATACATCCAGAATTCTTATCAATAGTTTATTGTATTTTCATAGTTTTCAAAAGGATATCATTCGAATATTTGTATATGGAAAATAATCATTCGATTTTACTTTGCAAAATTAATTAGATACAGTTGTGCGAGAAAGAATTTACACAACCTTGCCGATGCCCTGAAAATCTCGGAGGAGAAAGATGTGAATACAAATATGGTACGATTTTAATTTTTAGTCTAGTTTTCAAATATAAAACATTATAAACACACCCACTAAAAAAACACTTTATTTTAAAAAATAATATTATGTCTATTAAAGATTGCAGTGGAAACCTTGTACAACTGACGACATCTTCATATTCATTTTTTAAAACGTTTTCAAATACTATTTTGTGACATGGTAACGGAAGGTGGCAGTTGGATAGTAAGTACATCTTTCTCCTTTTTTTCTGGTGATAAAGTGACGTGAATACTCAGTTGTTATTTTATACGTATATTACTCTTTTCACTACTTATCTAAAATCTATTTTAATTCATATATCTATTCGGATGTATACCATTTGCCAATTTAGCAAATGGTATACATCCAAACAAATATAACATGAATTGAAATGAATTGGAAAAAAGAACCTCATTTAGCATAATATCTATATAATTAACGAAAGGTTTAATTTGCAAACAAGGCCATTGTATTGATCCAAGAATTTTTGAATTATCGACTTCAGTTGACATTTCTGATACTTTTGTAAAATCTATTTCTTTGTCAGTAGACCGTTATGTATCAAGATTAACTGTGTGCAGAACAATCTCTTGTTTATCGCATCAGTTGAGAGATGTTAACACCATGTATGGGTGATGATGTTATATTGTTAAATACATAAAAGAAAATGCAGACTTACCATAAATGTCTAAGCCATCACGTTTATAAAAAAAAAGTTTAGTTGGTACTTTTTATCAATGTCTTGAGTGTATACTATCATGAAAGTACGAGGGTTGTCCCGAAAAGTCGTAGACAGGGAACATAGTTTATTTTCTCTTTACTAAATGATATTTCTTTTCTTGACATAGCAAAAAGTAGCATTTTATGATCATGCGTTTCAAGTTTCATGACAATACCACGTTTAATAAGAAAACTATGAAAAAACAAGCTAATTCAGAGTATTGGTGTCCACCGCTTAGGGAAAAGTAAACTATGCGCAGTTCGGGGGTCGGGGGGGGGGGGGGGGTCGGATCCCTTTAAATGAATTTGTAGAATAATTAAATTTATACGTGTACTGAAACAAATAAAATATGCTAATGGATATAAAGGTTTTATTGATTATTCTTTATTATGTGTGTAGAAGATTTTTTTATATGGAATATTTATCACACTGTAATGATGATTTTATGAGTTTGTACAAGCCAGACCTCATACATTTTTCATTTCACATGCTGAATACTATCATTTAGTTAAAAAAAAAAGTATTTCGAAAAAAAAAATTGGATCATCTGGGATGCGAACCCTGGCCCTCTCACATGTGAAGCGAGAGATATACCACTAGACCACGGATCCGCTTAATCATGGTGAAAATTATATATACAAACATTAAGTCTGATACATGCATATATTCACATTTGATATATTGTCAAAATTTTACACAATGCATGTGTCTACTTTAACCTTTATTAAACAGTTCTAATAGATGTATAAGAATATAAAGTCCGCCGAGAACCTGTTTTATACGTAATAACTCTCCTTCATGCCCCTGTGCTAAAAATAGCGACATATAATACAATAAATAATAACAAAACAAACGGGGCGGAACACTTTGAGAGGGGTGAGAGAGGTCCTAGGGACTTTTGGTATAAAATTACATTGCAAAAGGTCAAAATCCTCTTGAAATATCGCCCGAAAACGATAGTGTTACACACAAACAGAATGTAAACATTTATGACCTTGAACTTTGACCTTTTGACCTCAAAATCAATAAGGATCTTTCTTAAGCCACAAGGAGTTGTTAGGTAAAATTTCATTGGAAAAGTTCAAAGGCTTCTGGAG